GCCGGATATTCAAACATATAATGAAATTCATCTCCGATATCTCTTACATTACACAATTGACAAATACGTTCATGTCTTGGTATATTACTCCTAATTCCGGCTTCTACAGGTAAGTTACTATTTCTGGTTCTAAACATACAAAGAGTATTTAAGTAGTTTTCGAACACAACTTCTTCCTTAAAAACTCTGTATATGGTGGATTTTGGAGAGTCTCTGCATATTTCTGCCCAGTTTTGTTTGAACTGATCAGTCAAGTTAAGTTTTGTTTTTGAAACAAGCCACTTTGGATCAATTGGATTTTGGTTTAACCAGATATTAGAGAGTCCACAATTGTTCAGAGTACTCTTTATGTTTTCTATCCAAGGAAGAAAAAATGGTTCCTTCGCATGGATAGAAAGCTTCAATCAGTTGTACCTGTCTCAGAAACGTTAGTGAACCTCTCAAGACCAATCAAGAGTTATTTGTACCGAGTCCACTAACTCACTGGTCACTTTGTAAGTTTATTATTTCAGTGGCGGATCCAGAGGTTTTTTGGGGGCTTCAGCCCCCCCCTCCCTCCCCCACCCAACCTGAGAATTTTCTCCAAAAAATATAACANCCTTAGAAATTAAGAAACCTTACAAAGTGACCAGTGAGTTAGTGGACTCGGGTACAAATAACTCTTGATTGGTCATTAGAGGTTCACTAACGTTTCTGAGACAGGTACAACTGATTGACCCTCGGGGGTCTGGAACAGGAGCCGGGTACAAACACATGTCAATTGGCCGCCCGACGTCTTTTAAAACCCGGCCTTGGTATAAACGTCTGCTGATTGGACACCTGAGGTCTTTTACAACCTGATCCCCAAGAAACACCTGTTGAGATTGGTTTACAACTGGGCCCAGGACAAAACACCTGTTAATTGGACACCAGAGTTCTTCTGAAAAAAATATCACACTTATATGTCATTACGTGTGTAACAAGAGGTCAAAGGCCATTACATAATTTGTAACGAAGTAAACGAAGATCTACATTATACAGAAAGTATCATGTTTTGAAACGCTATATATTGATAGCAAATACTTTCTTATGCATTTTTTATTACAATTAATCAACAAATTAAAAACAATCCCTTCATTCTGACACACACCATAACTATTTTAAGGATAACTTATCAATCTTTAAAAAGATATGATGCAATTTATGTATATTAGGGTTTTTACTTAACATACGTCCGCTTTAACTCTCACATTCATACAGTTGCAACAAAACTCCTTGAAATTAAGAATTCCGCACTAAAAATCTAGCGAGTATACGCAATCACCGTTTCTGGAACTTTTGTAAGAGTCATATTTTTTTCTGTTTATATATTCTTCTATTTTAAAGTAATATTCATTTTTTTTAATTAAACCTGATTATAGACAAAATTGTATTTTAACGTGTCTGAAACTTGGCTGGAGTTCTTAACCGGTTTATGTTTTTAAATTTAAACTTAGTACATGTATTACGCTGACAGTATTCATGCATAGCCTTTTTATAACTGATAATTTAGTTATAAAAATATAATTCCTGTGATACTTTTTGGTTTAGATTGTCTGTGCTTAACGTGCTTTTAACAGCTATGGTCATCTAAGGACGTGCCAGCTTTTGGTGGTGGAGGATGGCCGGTATACTCGGAGAAAAGCCATCGACCTTCGGCCAGTACCAGGCGACTGCCCCGACGAACACACGACCCAGTGGTGGAGGGCTACTGATCAGTCACCGCAGCCTCCCCTACCCATTTATAATGTAATAAACATAAACGGGAATACATCACCAAAACCAAGAACTAAGACATCAATGTTGGGACTACATATATTCAAGGTCAGGGACGCCTCAAAGTCAGTGACTTTCGGGGCCGTATCAAACGAACAATCAGAGATTTATATATTGTAATATATACGTCTCTGGAACGGTGAGGATATTTCCAAAATTAAAAAATTCATCATCAAAATTTCTGTTTCAATTTTCAATTGATTCTCTCTAACAATTTCAATTAAAAATAATATCACATCAGAAATGTAAACTTTGCACGTAAAACATTAAAGCAAAACATATTGATTGAAGTTTGTTTCGTTCTTTTTCTCTCTCAAAATTTTATATGGTTTTCAAAATTTGCGCAGAGCAAGCATCATTTCCTAATTCCAATGATACTGTAAATATTTCGTTCATTTTGTAAAAGTTCGAATTCCTCGGTAATATTCAGAAATACATTTCCCTCTTATCTAACAGATGGACCGAACCTTTCTTCCGGGTCTAATGCCCCTATATGGGATATTTATTTGATGTCACTAATTAAAGAATATGTTGGTCTATTTTCATTCGAAAGATAACGTTATTTATTTATTGATTTCTTTTGTCTTTCGTTTATATTGCAATTCAAAAATAGATGTCTACTTTTAAATGTACTTATAACAGAAGAAAATGCCAGAGTCTGAGAAATTCGGTCAAAACAGGACTCAACGCCGCTGACCATAGACTGTATCACCAAGGTCATGGGCTACGTCATCAAGGACAACGGCAACATCGTTGGTGTGAAAATATATATTTATGCTTAAAAAATAAACTGGTAGTTTTACTCGATTTGAGCTCGATGTCTTTGTTGGCGTTATAATTTGAATTATCTCCCTTAGTCTGATGCCGACCGACCATACGGAAAGAAATTCTAAACGACAGTCGTTCATTGTAAAATAAGATCAGACGATGATGATCTCAGGGACGTAACCAGGCGTACGCACGGACGCACGGGCTTCCACGTAATTTTTTCAAGTATACTTTTAACAAGGATCACATTGTAGAACTTTATGTGATAAACTTTAACAGTGTGTGTACCCCCCCGGAACCCCCCTAACTCAGGAGGGGGTAAC